TGCCTTCAAGAGCTTTGTAAGAAGCATCAGATTTTTTCGAGCATCCCGATTAAAATGGAGCTTCCGCATTGGGCCTTCCCGCCCAGGAGTGAATCTCTAGCTTCGCTTTTGATAGCTGTCATGACTGTTGTGGAATGCATCCCACCCCAAAGGTAGAGCCAGCTGGCGGGTCAGAAGGTAGGTACTCGGCTCACCTGGTCGTCCTGAAGGCTCGTAAATTTATCATGGCACAGCATGTAGGGCCTAACATTGCGTTCCTCGTCGAACATTCGATGGGCGTTCATTTCGTCCACGCCTGTTGCGGCCCACCGGCAGCCGTAGAGGAGAGCGGCATGTGCTCATCTGGCTCACGTTTGGAAGTTGATGCACCGCAGAAACGGAGTTCAACCTGACCGTCGATTTCATGCACAACTTATGTTAGGTTGAAAAATTCAATGCGTTAAATTTGTAGCTAGATTAATATGCAAAATAATTCTTCCACAAGCTTGTACGAGCAAAAAACGAAACAAGTTTTGAGCATACCATGTAGTGGTCTGGCTACCCAATAAGAACGACTAGTGGAAGGAGTGAGGTTGGAAGCCGGATATCATGGGTAGGTGTGGGTGTTGTTGGGATAGCAGGATTGCTGGATGTGGTCGTGGGTGCTTCGGTGTAGGCAGGTTTCAGATGATCAATGGAGACAGTATCGTGCCCTCCGTGTCTCTCTAAAACAAAGTATCTGTAGTAACGGTTGATAACCTTGAGGGGGCCATCGTAACAGGGTTGGAGGGGTTTCCTCGTTGCGTCATGTCGGAAAAATAATAATGGTGTAGAAGAGAGATCGGTTGAGATGTGTTCTGTTCGCGTTGATCGTCTCGTCGTTGTCGCACGAAGTTCGGACATATGCTCTTCCAGAGGTTTGACGAATGTAACGGGTGGTTCGGGCTGTGCGCTAGAAGGGGAAACCAGTTCACCGGGTAAACGTAAAGTTTTACCGTATACTAATTCGGCTGGTGAACAGGGAAGCTACTCCTTAACAGTGGGGCGAATAGCAAGCAAAATGCGGGGTAAAGAAGAGGACCTTGAAGACGGGTTCATTTGGGCAGTTAATGCAGCTTTGAAGTGGCGATTTAAGTACCCAACTAGACTGTTGGAACAGGGATGATACGCTGTGGTCGATATGTGATGGAAGCCGAACAGTATAGAAAACTCCCGGAAGAGACTACACTGAAATTGTGAACCGCGATCGGTAGTAGCGGTGGAAGGTATACCAAACTTACTCACCCAGTGCTGCAACAATGAAAAGGCAACCGTTTCAGCTGAAGTATCCTAAATAGGCACAGCTACTGGCCAACGGGTAAAACAATCGATTATGGTAAGATTATGCGTGAAGCCATTTGATGGGGAAAGTGGACCAACAATGTCGAGATGGACGTGTGTGAATCGAGCATCCGGAAGGGGAAGCAAACCGATAGGTGAGTTTGTATGCCGATTTAATTTACTACGTTGACAGGCGATGCACTATTTGGCCCAGAATTTCTGGTCCTTAGTCATGAAGGGCCATACAAAGCGTGTGCTAATCAACTTCCTGGTTGCTCTGATTCCTGGATGAGAAAATCCATGAAAGTGGTCGGAAACAACCCGTCTACAGGCTTCGGGGACGATTGGGCGAGCTGGGCCGGTAGACATATCGCAAAAAATGGTTCCGGATTGGAGGGGTAACGGAATTGAAGAGACTTGAAATGAAGGGAACGATAGAATGGGCAAAAAATTAGGATCACTATTTTGAAGGTTGGCCAGCTTGGCTATGTCCAACTGCGTGGAAGGGCGAAGAGCATTGATGGCAGGGTGAGGCAGGGCATCTGCGACGACAATGTCCGAACCTGGAGTGTACCGAATGTCGGTAGTGAACTGAAATATAGTCGAGATGGCGTATCTCGCGTGGTGAATATCGATCAGGATTGGCGTTAAAGGCATACGTGAGTGGCTTATGGTCGATTTGAATGGTAAAAGATCTGCCTTCTAACAAGTGCCGGAAATGGCGAATAGCAAGGTAAATTACGAGTAATTCACGACCAAAAGTACTGTAACGCGATCGGCAGCCTG